AAAAAAAAAAAAAAAAAAAAACTTGGTAGATGAATTCAATTGAATAAAATTAAAGAGACTCCAGTTTTACTCTGAATTTTGCTGGCTTAATTCTCTGGTTATTCAGCTGTTCATGCAATTTCATCTGCTATCACCATCAGTCACGTGGGGAATGATGTACTTAGTACGGCAAGATGCTTCTCTAGCAAAGCACATAAAAATTAATGTCTGGCATCTTATAAATAAATGCAAGTTTATTTTCTTTTTCTCATTATTTTTTGTTTTTTTAGAACTTTACTCATCCGTCTGAAGCTGGCGAAAGGTGTGACACCCCAGCAAATCTTTTAGCAAAAGGATGTCAGTTAACCTTCGTAGAAAACCCTGTCTCCCAAGTAGAAATACTTCAGAATAAGCCTCTCAGCATAGGCCGACAGAAGAATAGTTCTGACATTGTTCAGATTGCACCTCAAAACCTGATTCTTAAATTGAGACCAGGTATGGTTATGATTTCATGGCTGTTCATGTGAATGAATATCTCATTATGCCTGTAACCTTGCTATTCCACTGGAACAGCTGGCGCCATGTCACACATCATTGGTCATTGTGATTCACATTTCCCAACCTGAAGGAAATGGGGAATTGTGCACAGTTCTCTCTATTGATATCAGTCACTTGCACCCTGAAGGCGACACTAAATAAGTCTTCTCTAATTGTGACCCTTTGAATTACTCATGTGTTGCCCAGGCTATCTCACATTTCTTCAAGGACTGAAATGTAGATTTAATCTCCCCTTGATTTGGTTCACCTTTTCTAAAACCACATGCAAAAAACTTGAGCTTATCTTCCATATAAATGGATGCAAGTTCTCCCAAGGACATGTAAAATATCCTAACTTACACCTCCTTTAGTCTTTCAAAACTCACTGCTGAGAGATTTTCATGGATTCATTCATTCATAAATGTTACCACACAGTACACAAAAATTGTATGCACATTAAATTAAATAGCCAGCTAACCCAAGACTGGCTAGTTATAAATAACTGTCCTTTTTATGGTTTTGTCTTTCCCTCGGGGGTTGCAGGTGCTGAGCAGACTGTGCAAGTGCAGGTCCGCCAGACAGAGGACTACCCAGTGGATTTGTATTACCTCATGGACCTCTCTGCCTCCATGGATGACGACCTTAACACAATCAAAGAATTAGGCTCCCGGCTGGCCAAGGAGATGTCTAAATTAACCAGCAACTTTAGACTAGGCTTTGGCTCTTTTGTGGAAAAACCTGTCTCCCCTTTTATGAAAACAACACCAGAGGAAATCGCAAATCCTTGCAGGTAAGTGAATGAGCTCCCTAGCATCTCTGGGCACTGATTTCTGTAGATGTAATCCACACACTGAGCTGTAGTACCAGGAGTTCTCTGGTGTTTCTGTCTCATCTGTTTGGATCTCAGCAATTCTCTGTGGTCTAAATGATTTGCAGCCAAGGTACAGTCATCTCAACTTCGTGGTTCTAGCCTCAGGCCCCTGCATCATCTGCCTGGTTTGCAGGCCTGAAAGTAGCCACAAGTTTTCCTGTTTGGAGGCAAGGAGACAGTGTCTTTCACTGTAGGCTCCACTGGACATGCATACCAGTCCCTTAGAGACCTTCAGTGACCACCACTTTCTCAGGTGATTTGGCACTAATTTACATTTTCTCAGTGTCTTTCTCCACCACCTTGACTTCTGTCAAAATAATAATTTTTGTAGTTTCCTCTGACGCACTTTGGGGGAATGTGGCTTTCTTCTTTGCTTAGAGGCTTTTGCAGCCTTCCCTGCTATTAAACTCAGTAGGAAATGAGGCAGTGACTCCATTATAATATGCTATAATCAGCCATTAAAACCATGTATTATGCAGGTGATAGTCAGGGGCAAATTGTTTTGTGATGGCTTACCTGTATGGTCAATGACATGTTCAAAATCAAATTATTTAATATTCCTCTACTAGAAAAGAGCTGCCGTTTGCTCTGTGCTGAGCACTTCATATACATGACCTCATTCTAGCCTCCTAATGATGGCAGGTTAGAACTGTACTCAGAGAAACGGATAGTGGCTCTAAGAGGTTAGTCATATGTCCAGGGATTCATGCTAAGATCCAGTTTGGTTCTAAAACTTAACGTTTTACTGGAATGTATCTAGTATATATGAAATAATTTACCAAATATATTTTAATATTTCATACTTTAAAAATTTATTATTTTAATTTTATGTGTATGAGTATATTGCCTACGTGTATGTGAGTGCACCTGTGTTATGCAATGCCGTAGAGGTCAGAAGAGGGCTTCGGATTCCCCTGGAACTGGAGTTAAGGATGGTTTGTAGCTGCCATGTGAGTGCTGGGAATCAAACCGGGTCCTCTGCAAGAGCAGTCAGTGCCCTTAACCGCTGAGTCATCTCTCCAGCCCCAACATTTAATACTTTTATACACCATAAAAAGCAAACTCTATAAGACAAACAATATCATGTCATTTAAAAATGGTTCAAATTCAGTGTCATTCTCAACTATAATCTAGTAGCCCCAAATCATTTAACCATGGAAGGTATTTCCTACTGATTGTAATTCTTAGTAATTGTGTTTAGTTTCAAGTAATAGAGACTGGCTTAAAAGAAGAGTTATTTCTTTCTTTTCTACATAGAGGAATCTAGAGAAAGGTATTCAGGGCTGGCTTAGCATCTTCTCACACATAAGGAACACAAAGTTTTTCTACTATCTGCTCTACTATAATTTGCACTTGGATTTTATCTTCAAGGTCCAAGAAGGCTGCTTGGGCACTTGCCTTTTCTTCATTCCAGGAAGAAAGGGGGAAAGGAGAGTAGATTGATAAACAGTTATGTCTTCCCTCCCCCTAAAGGTAGAATAGGCATGCACTGAAAAAGCACACATCAAAAAACAAAACAAAAACAAAACACTGCTGACTTTTGATACTTGAATGAGCCAATATAATCAACACCCCAGACAAGATGTTAACATTGTCATCACTGCAGAAGGCTCCTTCATGCCCCTACAGCCAATTCTGCTTCTCAGAAGCAGCCACTTACTGATTTCTGTTCTTTAGAGTGGATTTGCCTAGTCTTGGATCTCATATAGATGCAAGAGTGTGGTGCTTTTTCAAGTCTGACTTCTTTTGTTAAGAAAATGTTTTTAGAGTTATTCATGATTTTGTACATACCAGCTATCTACCCCTCTTTGCTTTAACACACAGTCCCTTTAGGATTTTCTATAGGTTCATTCTGATTCATTCTCCCATTGATGGATATTTGGGTTTTTTTCTAGTTTTGGCTGTAGTGAAAAGTGTTATCACTTGCAAAAATATTTGCAAAGATGTATCAATTACCAACAGATTCTCAGCAAGGGCTGGGCTTCTCGTCTACCTACTTCATCCATGCTGAGTTTTTGTCTGGCTTGGGCTTGCACAGGTCTTGTGCATGCTGTCACAAGTATTGTGGCTTTGTATGTGCTACTGCTCTGTGGTGTCCAGACAACAGTTTCCTTGTATTCATCTATAACCTCTGGCTCTTACAATCTTTCCACCTCTTCTTTAGCAATGCTCCCTGAGCCTTGAGAGGTGTGATATAGGTGTCTCATTTAGTGTGAGCACTCCACAGTCCTTTATTCTTTGCAAGCTGACCAGTTGTATATCTCTGTGTTAATCACCATCTGCTGTAAGAAGAAGCTTCTCTAATAAGGGTTGAGAGATGCACTAATCTATGGGTATGATAATAAGTCATTAGGACTCAGTTTAACACTATGGCTATTCAGCAGAATGATAGTAGTAAATTCTCCCCCAGGGCCTATAACCTGTCTAGCTACAGGTTCTTGGGCATGATAACAGATGTTAAACCTGCATCAGTAAGCATATCTTGCCAGGCCAGTAGTTACTGTAGCTTGCAGGGTTCATAGCTGGGTAAGATTATTGATTACTTTTCATTTCCAGTAGCATGCATAGCATCTTTCTAGTACTATGAAAGCTTGCCAGTGGAGATGAAGCTTCAAGATCAGTCAAGCTTGATTTCTCCTTGTTTCTTCTAGGACTCACATGCAGTATCTTCAACAATAGGGTTTTGCTGTCAAGTTCTGGTGGGTAACCAAGAGCAAAGGCATATCCAGTATTGTTTGAGGGTTTATGGGATGCCCCTACCCCATGATCAACAACTCCAAAAGAGGGAGTCCATTCCTAACATTGAATTCTTTATTTGCTAATCCATGGTGTCTGGTCGGGCCATTGAACGCCCTTTATAGGGTAACTACATTTTAAACTCATATATGTATATATTTTAAGAAGCTTCTAGAGTAGTAGGTTTCCTTAAGACTTTTTAAAAGGCCTGACCTTCCTGTTAGCTATCCCCTCCCATTGTCCCTCCTCTGCCCTGTCCTCCCATTCCCCACCCCATTTAACCCTTCCTATCCCACTATTCCTCTTTCCCCTTTTATATCATTGCATGGTATTTCACACACACACACACACACACACACACACCACCCCCTCCTGACATCCCCTAATTAGCTTCCTAACCTCTATAGATTTTTCCAACTGAAACACACCTATATAAAGATTCAAAGCTATCATCCACACATGAGAGAGAACATGTAATATTTGTCTTTTAGAGTCTAGGTTACCTCACTCAGGATGATTGTTTCCAGTCCCATTAATTTACCTGCAAATTTCATAATTCTGTTTCTCATAAAACCTGGAAAATATTCCATTGTGTAAATGTACTATACTTTCACTACCCATTTATCAGTTGGTCAACATCTAGGTTGTTTCCATTTCCTGGCTATTGCAAATAGAGCATCAATGAACATGGATTAATGGATATCTCTGTAGTAGGATATAGAGTCCTTTGGGTATATGTCCTAGAGTGGTATAGTTGGATCATGTGGTAGATCTATTTGTAGCTTTTTGAGGACCATCCACACTGGTTTCCATAGTGGCTACACCAGTTTGCACTCCCAGCAGTAGTAGATGAGTGTTCTCTTTTCCCCACAGGCTCTCCAGCATTTGTCATTGTTCATTCTTTGGATCTTAGCCCTTCTGACTGGGGTGAGATAAAAATCACAAAGTAATTTTAATTTGTATTTCTCTATGGCTAAAGATGTTGAACATTAAAAAAAAAACAAAACAAAACAAAAAAAACCTAGTTCTCAGTCACTTGGATTTTCTTCATTTGAGAACTGTTTAGTTCCTTGACTCATTTTTAAAGTGGGTTTTTTTATGTTGAGTTTTTTGTTATTTTATATTCTAGATATTAACCTTCTGTCAGATATATAGCTTTAAAGATTTTTTTCCCTTTCTGTAGACCATCTCTTCACTGAACTGATGGTGTATAGAAACTTTTTAGTTTTATGAGGCCCCATTCATCACTTACTTTTCTTAATGCTTCTTCTATCAGAGTCCTGTTCCGGAAGATTTTTCCTGTGCCTATAAGTTCCAGTGTTTTCCCTACTTTCTTGATTCAGGGTATCAGTTCTTATGTTTTGATCCTTAATCCATTTGGAGTTGAGGTTTGTGCAGGAATCTAGTTTCAGTCTTCTTACATGTATCTATTCAGTTTGAACAGTTTCACCCTTTGCTGAATAATTTTTTGGCCCCTTTGTCAAAAAACAAGTAGCTTGTGAGTAGACTTACGTCTGGGCCCTTAATTCTATTCCATTGATCAATGTGTCTCTTTTAATGCCAGTATCATGCTATTTTTATTATTGTAGCTCTGAAGTATAATTTGAAATCAGAGATGGTGATTCTTCCAGCTCTTCCTCTATTGTTCAGGATTATTTTGGTTGTCCTGGTTTTTTTTGTGCTTCCTTATGAAATTTGAGGTTATGTTTCCAATTTCTGTGAAGAATTGTGTTGGAATTTTAATGGAAATGGCATTGAATCTGTAGATTGCTTTTGGTAGGATGACCGCTTTCACAGTATTAATTCTGTTGATCCATGAAAAAAGGAAGCTTTTCCATTTTCTGGTTTCTTCTTCAATTTCTTTCTTCAATGTCTTAAGGTTTTTATTGTACTAGCCTTTCACTTCCTTGATTAGATTTATCTCAAGATATTTTATATTGTTTGAGGCTATCATGAATGGGGTCTCTTCCTTGATTCCTGTTTCAGTGTTTGCTATTAGTGTACATGCATACATAGAGCAGAATTGCTGAATTATATGGTAATTTAAATTTTCCAAGAAGCTACCATGCTTTTTTGCAAAGTAAATGTGCCGCCTTTTATTTCCGTGAAGAGTTTTAAAGGGATCTAAGCGTTCCACATTCATAACAACCCTTGGCAGGATTAGACTTGCTAAATTTTCCCTT